ATATAGATATATCTCTATATATCTATATATATATATAGATATATATAAACAATCAGTGAACTCTGGCACTTTTGTCACTTTAATGCTAAAAAGAGGAATAGGAACATATCAGCTATATACAGCTCTGTACTCCACTTAACACTTCACAGAGCCCAGGGCCATCACATTTTTGTTCCATCTGTAGGTCAGTCTGTGAATGCTGTAAGTTCTACATCTGCACATGCAGGTACCACCAACCTGACACTAGGGATCTATTGTACTGTTTATTATCTGACAGATTAAAGCGATGAACACTGTTTTGCACTTATGCAGCAGGCAGTGGGATAGAAGCCTGATGCTGTGAGAAATACAATCTATAAGGTATTTGCTGTAAGGGCCTTGTAACACTCTTCTTTTATTGTGCTCTGACAAACATTGCAGGATCCTTCTCAGGAGCTTGAAATTATTTTAACAGGCTTGCCTAATGTTTTCTTTAGATTACCTCATTTGAGAACCTGAATGTTTACCTTTAAAACAATTTTTACCTGTTGACTGATTTTTCTTCACAGCAGAGATAATATGACCAAATCAATAGGTTTTTGGTCACACAACCAACACTGTTGTTGTGAGGGAGCATGGAGCAACTTTTTTTTCTTTCTTTTATTAGTATTTACTTATCCATTCCAGCAAGACCGTTTACAAAGCTTTTGGAGTCTTTGTCATCTTCTGGTCATTACTGAGCACTGAATCTCAGGTCTTTGCCGGGCATACCTACCGGTAATCTAATCAGGAAAGTGCCTTATAGACTGCTGGGCATTCAGCCTGTGCATAATCAATAGGTGTGTGTGTGTGTCTGCTAATGGCCTAAAGAAAAGTTTTTCTGACTTTTGTTGCACTGTTACTGCCTTAAATTGTTCTTGAGAATTCTTTGGACTGCGTTTATACTCTGATTAGTTGTGCTTTTCCTGATCATTGGCCTGTTACCACTATTGTCAGTCATTGATCCATTTAGCGGTCTGGAACTGGTCTCTTTAGGATCAGTGTATCAGCCAGCTAACTCGCTACTGTCTGCTGTTTGCTTTGACCATACGTCTGTGGACATGCATCACTCTAACATCTGTCCCGCCTGTTAGTCAAATGCCAGCCCTGATGACACAGTGGGTCTGCTGAAGTCTGTGACATCTGCTTTTAAGTGTTTCCAACAACCATCTTGATTCCTCTTTTATGGGGTCCATGTGTGCTATGTGCAACCATGGAAGTCATCCAGAAATGGTTAAAAAGTAGTAGTGCCAAAGCAACACAGAAAAGGCAAAGAAGTTTAAAAAGAGCAAATGAAGCAAATGAGTAAATGGAGAAAATTGTTATAGGTAGAACTTGTTGCAAAGGTGATCTAGTGTTTTTTCTCAAATTACATTGTTTTCAAATGACATTGAGAATTTTCTGAAGATCTGATTTACTTGTCTTATACAGATTTGCAAAGTATTAATCAGATCATTTATTTTATGTTTAGAACAGCATTAAATAAGTGCCTAGTCACTTTTGTTTTTGCACCTTGTGTGTTAAAGGATTCACTGGATGTGCACCAACTAGGTTAAGCTAGGCCAGGGGCTGCTCCAATATACTAACTCCTCTGACAGGGAAGTGGCATCTCATGTGCAAACTGGTCTTAAAGGGGTTCTAAACCCTCCCGTTTTTTTGCCTATATCTACTGCTTTCAAGCAGTAGATATAGGCAAAAAGTTGGAAAAAAAAACAAAAACGCTTTAACAGCGCTTAACACTTACCTTGTTTCGGCTGCGCGCTCCCGTTCGAGAAAACGAAACTGATCCGGCGGCCGCAAAGAGTGTTGGGGCGGGCGCAGTTCGGATTCTGGGCCGGGAATCGAGCAGAGACGCAAGGTAAGTCTATGGAAGCGTGCACCCGCATGCAGACACCGTTGGATCAGAAGTGCCTGCAAGCAGAGAGGAGTCAGCGCTGGATCGGAGAGCCGCCGCACCGCTTGAGGGACAGATGAAAACATGGGGAAAGAAGAAGATCGGATTAAGAGACATCATTTAAGGTAAGTGCTAACATTAACATGGGGGAGGGACATTTTTGTTATCCTTTTAATGTCACTTTAAATCTTCCTCATGACCCTTAGGCTGATAAAAAAATACATAAATGGAAAGAAACATTAATCTGCTGCCTTGTATGATATGTTTTTTTAATAAAATTTCAAAGTTTAGCCCAAATTTGTATGCGCCTAACAGAGCTAAAGTTGTAACAATCCAATAAATATTTAAGTAATACATTCTGAATGCATTTTAAAATTAATATTGTCAATAATGTGTTAAACATTTTTTTCAGTTAGGTCACTGTGACCCTCTGTATAAATAATGCGGCCTTTTACTGAGTTCATCTTACTACTGAGTTCTCCTACTAGTCCCTGCCCTCAAGGAGCTTACATTCTAAGGTCCCTATCTCACATACATACATACAGGGCCAATTTAGGGCCGGTTCACACCATAAACAATGCGTTCCAGAGCAGTCAGTCTCTGGAACGCACTGTATCACATACTGGCCAGCTTCCTGCATTCAGGGGCGGGAGGGAGCATGGCGGCGCATTGAAGTCAATGGCACCGCAGCCACACCCCCTGCCTGCACTGTGATTGCTCACACCAGAATGCATTGCACATCAAGGCCTGCGTTTCGGTCCAGTGCGATCTGGAAATATACTGCATACACTATTTGTCTGATCGCACTGATGTGCTACGGGTTTCAGTGTGGGAAATCAGACTGCACCGCCACGCCCCCTCCTACCGCAGAATGCAGTGAGCCGACCAGAATGCGATCCAGTATATTTCGGCACCGAAACGTGCAGGAACGCACTGTGGCTAGTGTGAACTAACGCTCAGACAGGAGCCAATTTACCTTCCAGCATTTCTTTGGTGTGTGGAAGGAGACCAGAGTACCAGGCGGAGACACACACAAGCACATGGCGAACATGCAAACTCCTTGCCACCACTATGCCATTGCATATATTATTACACAGCTAAGATTAAACATAGTTAAATCCTCTTTCTTTATAACTTCCTGACAGCCTGGAAAATTTTACCTCTTTAACCAAATCACAATTTTTTATTCTGCTAAATATTTACATGCTGAATTATTCTGATTCGGTGGATTTATGAATTTAGTAATTTTCCAAGTTTTGGTTGCTCCATGTGAGCTATATTGCTGGGCTGCATAAAGAAGAGTAACAGAAGAGCTGAGATACTTATCTGGAGAGAACGCTGCTCTAAATTTACCTCAGTGCTTGTCATGTAACCAGAAGCTAGCATCTGGTTGTGTGATCTTTGGTGAAGGTGAGAAGTAGACAATATGAACTCTGAAGTCTATAGAAAGGTAAGTATTTCAGCCCTTCTTTTATTCATTTACATATCCATCTGAGAAAGAATGGGCCTTTTTAACTTTAGTTCCTTTCACTTGGAAGTGTAATAACTGGCACAGGGCAGCTATACAGATGCAATCATTGACCCAGCTTGCCAGGATATAATCACTTAGCAGTTTGTGCCAGTTTAATTGCAACTGTTTCAGCTCTGTTCAGCGTGGCTCACAGATGCACATCTCCTAAACAGGCTGTCACTGTGTGCTATCATACTGCAGGATACAATACTTGTTGGGCATCTCATTACTGTTTAGTAAATATATTTCTCACCATGGGCCAC